ATTGGAGGTTTCGAAAGGTAAGAACAATCGTGAATCGTTTTATCATTTGACACCGTGAAACGTTTGTTTTCTAATCCCCTGCTAAGCCGATATATCGTTTATGACGAGATGTTGAGATCAGCATTACCTTTGTCATACATGGTCTAATACTGACACCCGCCTTGTCACGAACTACTGACAAGTTGACATACTATCGGAAAACCTTGGACTTGGAGTTCATAAAGTTTTACTGGAGACGTGAACATGTTAGTTTCAAACTCCCATCACCGTGGTTACAGGATGTTTAGTAGGTGAGCAACTGAACAATCTCTTCCGATATCTCGCATTTTCTTGACTCTATGTGTTGACAAATAGGTGACTCACTCTGGGAGTATGTATTCGAATTCCGGATGGGACTCTAACCTAAAAGTACTACAATATGTACACAAAAAGTGTAATCCCAAATATGTCACATTTGACCACTTTTATAGTCTGCCATACAGACCCTGAAGCAAATATATCCAAGAAAGCCCACGCAAGTCTAGAAAATGTCACAAGTCTAAATCTCAGGTCTCCTTTTCATTATAATATACTTTTTGTGAACTTTTTCTGTCAAATGTGTTCATTTCAGAGACTAGTTGTTAGTCATTTACTTTTATAAAGTCTCTGTACATTCGGCCCTGAGACCCGGGCTAATTTACACTTGTAACAGGGGTACACAAAGTACGTGGTCAAGACGACCAGTTGTCGGACTTCAATTGTGATGTGGAAGCCGCGGACCTTGAGTGGTTAGATCGTTGACATCATAATTTGTACTTTACTAAGAAAGGGTAATCCGAAATATAGCATGTTACAAGACTCGAATTATTCATCGGTACAGGAAAGTTTAAGGGTAACCTGAAATATAACATGTTACAAGACTCGAATTATTCATCGATACAAGAAAGATAAAATGTGTTGACACGGGATGTATAATTCCGTCATGTCTGAAGCTACATCCGTCTTCTTCCTGTATGAAGTATTGATACGATTTTAAATACATCATCTCCACGTTTCCCGATTAGGCCTGGTTCTTGCACGACACGGAAGTTGAAATTAAAACAATATTCTTCCTAATTTGTTTTCCGCTATTTGAACATCACTTTAGCTATTCGTGTTTTAAGGAAAAACTGGGGCTTTTATTACAAAACGTGGCGACCATGGGTACAGTTACATATCCGTCTTCAGAGGTTCAGGACAATTTGTCAAGAAGGAAAGCAAATGCCATCTGAAGCATGCTGAGAAAACGATAAATGAAGTACTGGACTTCCTCATAGATAACATCTTGTTTGCATTGGTAGTGCATGATGTTGAGGCGGGAAGTGGACACCCCCATTGTGATGTCTTTCTTGCTGATCAGCTTCTTTTGTTATTACAATTTCTGCCTTAATAGAAATTTAGTTTAAGCTTCTCGTATCTGCGGTACCTGCTACAAGATATTCCGTAGTGCTTATGCAGTGTTTTTGTGGCGCCAAACACGAGCTCGACCTCAGTCCTAAACAAAAGAAATCTACATTCGCCCGACCAGTGGACCCTTCCCCATGACCTCAAACTCTTGTGACGTTGACCTTGACACTAAGCTAGTCATGCTGTATTGTTGTCTGGGGACAACTGTTCCCTAATAGGTCCTCTGGCCCTATACCCGACCGAATTTAGGCAATTTCGGACTGTAGTTGGACAAACTACGACTTGAAAGCCATTCTGTTTTTAACACGGGTCTTGGTATGATTGGATGAAGTCTTGTGATTCTGAGAAGGGTTGTATCTTCCCACGTTCTTTAACGTCATTAGTTTGCTGACGTTTTCTGGCCAATCGGCAGATGGTCGATGGGTCACAACAACATCTCTTGCAATAGCCCCAGCATGCCAGCACGCCGCATACCAATAATTTGCTGTTTTGAGCAGCTGTCAGTTGAGGAGGGCCCATAATTGCTGACCAACAACGAAATTAATTTGATTTTGCAAGTTATCCAGCTGTAAGAAGATTTTACTTAAACTTGATATGTGCTCCATGGCGGGTACACGTATTGCACGTGATGTTCGCCATTGACCGTAACACAGGCATATTTAAAATCAATGCATGGTGCACCTGACGGGTCAAAATAACCATGCAAACATTATTATCACATGAATATAAATTACTGTATGAGGTGTGAAAATATCAAATGTTGCGAAACTTTTGTCCATGCGCATAGGTACAATTTGAACATGCTCCAAACAAGATTTCAAAGAGCATGATCCAACCCTGGCTCAGTGACACACTTTATGCCCGATTTAATCTCCCAAAGTGATTTGTATCAGATGTTCCCATGTTTCAGGTTAACAATTGATTATACACTATCAATTGATCTCCCTATCAAATGAGTCAGGATTTGGGGTGTTAAAGTACTTTCAACTTCCTTCTTACTATACACTGGAAACATACTAATTCCCCTAGATTCTCAAGAGAAGTGGTTTTGACATGAACTCCATTCAGTCACTGTATCTCATAGACACATTTTGGTTTTGTCATGGACAGGGTAGATTTTTTGTCATTGACGTCTTTTAAGCAATCGTTGGGATTTTGTGAACTTGTTCTTTTAAGTGGCTATGCATTCAGGAAGTAACACATACTGAAACTGGTTAAAATGTCCGCATAAACGAATCATAGGCACTAAGTTGATATTTGACCTCGATGTTCCCAACTGTTCAGAAGAGTTGTGTCCGCACTGAGAAGGTCCGGATTAATGGGTGTTTAGTGTACATATACCTACAGGTGCGGCACAGAATCAGATACCCCTCGCCCACTTTAGGTTTCTGTTTTCACCTGCGTGACATATAACGGTAAACATACATATATAAAACGTTAAAGAGCCTGTATAGTTTACCTGCCATATACAGTGAAGAGTGTGTATTCATCCGTCGAGCCTTCTCAACGTATATGTTTGTTCAACACTTTTAGTAGAATTTGCGCAGTATGAACATGACATTGAGGCTATGCTCCTGAACCTAAACGCGATATCTCCACACAGAACATACGCCCCTTCAGTGATAACCGCTTCTCTAGTGTTTGTAAGGCCGTTGCATGGCTACCTGTACTTCTTGCCTTTACATCTTTACAGCTTTACAAACAAAGACGTTGTTATCTGTGAAGGTTTCATGTGAATGTAACTCCTGCTTCTAAATGCCAATCAAAGACGACAGACATATGACACTTTGTCAACATTACAGAATGTTCTACATACATGTATATATCCTTGTCGTGTATTGAGTGTAAAGCGTCTAAACCCTCCGACGAAAATGTCTCGATTATCTGTTTTACTGATTCCCTTGGGCGTAAAAGGGAAAGTTGCAGTGAATATTTTTTTTAAAGATCAAAGAAAGCCAGTAATGACACCGGGTGTTCAAACAAAGTGTACTTTTTACAGTGAACATAGCTGGTTAACCAAAATCTTAATCTTAAAGCCTGTAAGATACTTTTCGAAACAAGCAAGTGCATTGATTTGTCTCTTTCACACACTAAAACCGTACCATTTTAGCATCGAATTCACAAATATATATCACTTCGGATCACCAAACTTGAAGATGATAATGAAAACACGATAGAACCAAAAAAACAGTCATTAACACCCCAAACCTTCCCATTTCGACACAGGTACGTTAGTTCGACCGGATCATGACTAATGTATCAATATTTGACAATGAGGAAAGTAGTCATTCAGGACAAAATCGAATATGACGAAAGGTCGCCTGTCTGTCCAATTCCATTGTATTAATAGTTGATGTTCTGGTTGTGATATGACATCACCATGAATTAGCATATGTTGTAAGCTTATATCAGGGTCTCTGTAAAGTTATACAAACAGAATCGAGGATGAAAAACTTATATTCTGATAACGACGCCCGAGAGCTGCTTTACTTCGGGCCTTCCTCCCACAGTAAGCAGACACGCCATGATACAGCTGGAATACTGTTCAAAGCGGTGAGGGCGGTGGAGTAGCCTTGTGGTTAAAGCGTTCGCTCGTCACGCCGAAGACCGGGTTCGATTCCCCACATGGGTACAATGTGTGAAGCCCATTTCTGGTGTCCCCCGCCGTGATATCGCTGAAATAGTGCTGAAAGCGGCGTAAAACCACACTCACTCACTCAAAGCGGCGTCACATAAAGTGACTCACTCACTGTGATAACCGCGCCACACCACAAGGTTGACAGTGACCCAGTACGTCAAGGACGCGTGTCAGGCAAGACACTTCTTGTCAGATTGCCGGGGTCGTTTCAGATAACGTTACGACACGCTGTCCTTGCACACAAGCAGGACCAGGAAGCCAAGTCAGACCGAGGCAGGGTATGCTCTCATGACTGCATCTATGTACATTAATTTTAGGCGTTTTACGTTTTATTCACAACCCCATCCTGCACGCATGTCACGTACGAGTCAGTCAGGCCTTGCTTCTTTGTTCTGTTGCACCTTCTGATATTCCAGGTGTTTGATATAGCTGTTTATGAACGAATCCATTTTATTCGTGCACTCATTGGGGAAATATGTAATATGCGTTTAACTGTGTTGGTTTCTAGTGCAGTGCAGAACAGTTTTGAAATTAACGACATGCATGGTAACTTTCGTATAATGCAAATAGCTTCCTGGTGGAGGTGTTGTTTTCAATTGGGTGGGACAGTTGAAAATATATCAAATGACGCCCGCCGATCAGATGCTGCAGCCTGTTGGTGCATTACAGGACGTAGCGTTCTGTTCGCGAATTGTTTTTGTTGATGCAATAGTAGGTTTATGTTTTTTGTTTTTGTGGATGCAATAGTAGGTTTATGTTTTTGTGGATGCAATAGTAGGTTTATGTTTTTGTGGATGCAATAGTAGGTTTATGTTTTTGTTGATGCAATAGTAGGTTTATGTTTTTGTTGATGCAATAGTAGGTTTATGTTTTTGTTGATGCAATAGTAGGTTTATGTTTTTGTTGATGCAATAGTAGGTTTACGTTTTTGTTTCAGGGAACTCATGAACCAGGTCTCGTAGCGACCAGCCGGACAGATAGCGTCATTATCAGGTGGGTGCAGTTTACGTGTTGATTTTAGACATGCAGACATACTCCTTGCGACAGAACTGGGCTATCTCTTGAAGCCAAAGGGCAGAAGATAACATGCTAGAAATACCATTGAAAATATGAAAACATGATCATTTTATGGGTATCAGTTTTATATTCTTTATTGTTTGTGACGATATCAGTTTCTTATTGTTTGTGACGATATCAGTCTTTGTATTGTTTGTGACGATATCAATTTGTTATTCTTTTTTGTTTGTGACGATATCAGTTTTTTATTCTTTATTGTTTATGCCGATATCAGTTTTTGTATTGTTTGTGACGATATCAGTTTTTTATTCTTTATTGTTTATGCCGATATCAGTTTTTGTATTGTTTGTAGCGATATCAGGTTTTTTTATTCTTTATTGTGTATGACGACGTTCCTGAGTCCCAGTAAAGAGAAACTAAATAGTTTTTTGTGTTTGCTGTCATATCAATCAATCACTGTCAGTTATTACTCTAACTACACTCAACAATATCGATGCTCATGATAACAATCACTGGATTTTCTGGTCCAGACTCAATTATTTACAGAGCGCCGCTATATAGCTGGAATATTGCTGAACGTGGCGTTAAACAACTTCCATGCTGTAAGTCTTTCTGATTCTTTATACCTATGCAAACCCATTCACTGAAATATACTATTCACACTTTGCTAAGGATCAAATCATGGATTCAACAGAAAACTATTATCTGGGGTCCAAATTGGTTTAAATACCTTAGCTTATTGTAAGCATGCATCCTAGTTTTCAGTATGTCATTGCATCTTATGGTTCCCATACCTGCTATTGAGATATGTTGTTTATTTGTCAATGACACGTTCCTTGATTTGCAAAATGGTTGATTGGTGCCATGAAAACCATTTGTATGGATATTCATGTACCAAGTGCATAAGGTTAGATTAAAGTGGCTGTTTGCCTAAAGAGGGGTTACCACATTATTATTCATCCAGTTTTAAATAGATACAATTTCAAATTATAAATCTACGTTTAAGTAAAGTTGTGAATTTTCTTGATCCTAAGCAAAGTGTGAGTAGTATATGCCATCAGCTTGGTCAGTAATTGTCACGTAAATCTGTTACTCATCACGGAGTGATTCTTTAACTGATAACAGATGACATCGTTTCATAAACACAAACTTTTGGTTCAGCCGGAATCGTACAAAAGTACTCTAATGTTAGCAGACTGAGATTTCTAATGATTTTTAATTAGTTTTGTTATTGTGATTGTCATGTTTTAAGTGCTGGACTCTTTGACCCCAGTAGTGTCAGGAGCTGTGCAGGTGTGAACTCCTCCACAGCGCCACAATCTGTCGACATTAGCTAATCTTCACACACGCCTTATTACCGATTGTCCTGTATTAGGCCGATACTATGGTTTGTCTAGTGTTATCACTTGATTAAATCATAGACCCTAGTTGAATATGATACCGTCTCGTGGATTTGGAAGGAGTTTTCTGGCTGGAATTGAATCATTTTGTCCATAGATAAGATCCATTTCTACAAACATTGATGGGTTGTTATGACAATAAATTCCTGGTGTTGTGACACAATACCCTTAATAAATGTTACTGTCGCGTGTTCATTGTGGCCCGTTTCCATATTACCTTGACCTGCCTGAGGCACCAGCTCATCAATATATTTTATATATATTTCAATATAATGGAACAGAAAGTTCAAAAAAGATTTGTTTACCAGACAACATATAAGGTACCATCCTCGATAATCTCAAGGCTATAGTTCCGATAAATCTCCACTATACCCTGGATGCATCTACGGCTCGAGCCGAAGATTTTATTACCTCCCTTGATTGACTTTTTATCCAATCAGGTGTCAAGCCGAAAGTAATTTATAATTTTATTCATAACCGGTAATTTTAATTGCATTTTACATAGTCTATCGAGTTGGAGCAGAATGAGTCGTTAGTAATCGAGTAGTTAAAGTTTCGCCCGAAAGGTCCATGCTCACTTTCCTATGTGCGTGAAGCTCATTTCCGGTGTCCCTCGCTTCCTAGGGTGTAAAATGTTATTAGCATTGACTATTGAAGCGACGTAAAGAAAAAAGATATGTATGTCAAACTTTACAGTACTGTAAGATGAAATATTCAGCGTTCTGGTCGCCTATTCCGAAAAGGATCACTGGATTATCTGGTCCAGGCTCGATTATTTATAGACCGCTGCCACATAGCTGGAAAATTGCTGAGTGCAGCGTAAAACAAAAATCACTCACTCACTCCATTCCGAAAAGACAATGGCCTTAGGATAACGAGAGTTGTTGAGAAGCGGAGTGGTTAAAACGTTCGCCCTTCCAACGGAGTCCCAGGTTCGATCCTCCACATGGCTATATTATGTAAATCAAAACCCGGCGGAACACACTTTCATTTCAGTTTTGTTTCGATGATAATGATAAATGTTTGTTACCACCCCTCACATGTGTTATCTGTGCCAGGTTTTATAAGCCAGAAGACACACCCCCTACTTTCTGGTCCCACATATTCACCTCTTTCATGATATATTATTGCAGAATAAACACAACTAGACGCTGTAGTCAAGGCTGTGATAAAACTGCCAGTAAGGAAATTTATATCGGCTTGCCAGAAGGAATGTGTGTGCTGAATAGGTCATCCGTTCTTCCAAGTGTAGATTAAGGGGAGGGTAAGTGTGTGAGTTTAGTTTTACGCCGCACCCAGCAATATTCCAACTATATTGTGGCGGTCTGTAAATAATCGCGTCTGGACCCGACAATCCAGAGATCAAACATCATGAACATATATCCACGCAATTGGGATACGACGACATGTGTCAACCAAGTCAGCCCTGACTACCCGAACCCAATTCTAACCCGGATCTTCTCAGGTCGTTAAGGGGAGGGGTAGATATTGAGCTGCTGAGATACTTGAGAACTATCAATGGATGATAACCTTTTTCAAACCCAATTCGTCACAGACTTAGCGTACCTAGAACGAAATGCACGCTATCAGTCCAGTGTGATAAACGCGCTGTGTGTCATGTTGTTGTTGAACTGACAACTGGATGTTGATGACACATTAAGGAGTGAATGAGTTTATCTTTTTGACGCAATACTGTATGACTGTAAGACTTCAACTAGATTTGTGTCAACGTTCCCTTTTCATGTCAATTATCTCTCAAGGCCTCCAAGCCTCACCTTCACACCATTCGGGTGCAAACGGGTATTTTTTAGCGAAAAGGATTTCAAAGAGCCTCATACAACTGCACAAATGTTCATTCGTCTAGATTACAACATTTAATGTCTCAGTAAAGCTTCCAATACGCTGTATTGTAGTGTAAGGAGTGAGTGAGTGAGTTTAGTTTTACGCCACACTCAGCAATATTCCAGCTATATGGCGGCGTCTGTAAATAATCGAGTCTGGTCCAGACAATCCAGTGATCAAAAAGCATGAGCATCGATCTGCGCAATTGGGAACCGATGACATGTGTCAACCAAGCCAGCGAGCCTGACCACCCGATCCCGTTTGTCGCCTCTTGCGACAAGCATGCGTTACTGAAGGCTCATTCTAACCCGGACCTTCACGGGTCTGTAGTATGAGGAGGAATCGTTCATACGTGACGCAAGAATGACGAAAAAGATGTCAAATACCCTTCCTTATTTTTACTTGAAGCATACTTTACTTGATTCTGCATGTATTTGTAACAAATGCTTACCTTATATTGAGCACCTGTTTGATAGTGAATCACTATTTGATAGTGATTCATAAACACTTGCTCATGATATCGTGAGATTCGTCCAATTGACTGTGCTTTTAGTATCGATTTCTTGTGGTCTCTAATGAAATGTTTTTTTGTATATTTTATATTTCTACGTGATATCAGATATTTCTTGCTGTGTAAGCTTCCTGTTAAGGGAAAACCCAAGGTGATGTCTTTGTGGGACGTCAAAGTGGTCAACGTCCTTGACCTTCAGATTTCCGTCCCATGCAAAATTACAACTCACTGACTCTCTCCAATGATGAAGCGACAATAAGAGATGGTTCAGACAAGACGCATCCTGCTCAGTTTCAAATTTCCTTATTCTGCTCTAGCTAGTTCCTGTATAGTCAATTCGTCATGGTTTACGTGAACATCACATTAGTGTATTACACTTACAGTTGAGATATCTTGGAGACATTAATGTTGAAAGATGAGAATTTAAAACGTTAACATTTAACCATTCATAAAACTGTAATGTGTTTTAACAATACTTCATATTATGATATTTAAATTAGAATTATATAATATGTGCTTATCGGTTTTATTCACATGTACAGTAGCATAATGGGTAGTCGGGGAGACATAAATCTACTTGACATATTTGAGAGACATTTTTCCTCGCCCAAGAACTGCTTCTTCGTATCTGGGTCTTGTAAGCTTATTGAGCTTCGTATTGTTTGGAACCGGCCAATAATAGCATCATACCAATAACTTGATCCTGGGATTTGGCGCCACGTTTCTACACATTCTTTATGCAGGATTAATACTTAAGCTGATTACGGATTAATTGGATTTGTTAGCATGGGTGAGTTGGGATGTAATCAAGATTAATGCGGGATGAGCCGAAAGCGTTCAATATTCGATATGGTTTGTCGTGAGAGATGCCCTATGTTGTTTCATCTGTGAAGTGTAGTAGATAGTTTACTTATGTAGGTAGCTGTTTCTTAGGATCTGACGTAGTTTGAAGACAACTCGGTTGAAGTAAGAAGGGATATAAGATATACAGAGCATATGTGCATAAATCATTTCAGACCCCAACGTCATCGTTGACGTAATTTCGACACCAGTGTTGACGTACTTAATTCACACACCAGTGTTAACGTGATTCCTTCAGATGCATAATCATTAAATATACAAACACAACGGCTCTTCGTGTTTAATGAAACCCTCATGAGTTAATTAATGTGAGATTTCATTACACCCGACGAGCAGTTGAGAGGTGAAACATCGCATGTACA